TAATGAATCTTTGATCATGTGGCTACAAGATCCTGCCAATTACTTTTTGGCCTGAGACAAAAAACAAAACAAAATGTAACAAAAATGCTTTTTTTAAAGTATGTTTTCTACACTGACTTCTGACATTTAAATATGTTTTAAAGATATCTGCCAGTGGCTTCTAAAAGTTCCTTTAAATAATCTTTTTGAAGATAAAATATGTTGCATGTTTCATTAATACAATCTTATATAAGATTCTGGATGCCAGATTCTTAATTATAATGCTCAGGTAAAGTCTACTCCAGACACCAACTACCTGAAGGAATATGTTAATTCTTATTTATACAGGGACTTTATAACAATGGCAAAAGAATTTGCTAAGAATGACTAAACCTAGTATACTCAATGTGAAGTATGTATAGTTTGCCTCACAAACCTAAATACAACTATGGAACACGCATACACTGGTTGTGAGTCCCCACATACTCCTCCTGAAGAAACTGGCATTCATTTTTACTTAGGAAATAATCTATGCTGGTGTAGAATATTTTCCTTTGTCCTCAAGTTTGTGTCCTGGGATGTTTGCTTCCTAGTTCAGGGTTTGTGTTAACACATTTTAGAATCGAATTTATACAGTCAAGTACAAAGAACATCCATTGAATGCTGAACCTTTCTCAACTGTTTTCTATGGAAAGCTTATGTTCTTTGTAATATACTTTAGCTGGCTGTGGTTCTATGGTGCATTGGTTCTAGGCCTAACTGTAACACCCTGTCTGGCAGTTCTATTAAGATCAACATTCTTGACTTTGGAGAACAGAAGGTATTTTAAATTCATTTTGGTAGGAGGAGTCAATTTTTGCCTGAAAAGGAAAAAAACCAGATTTCCTGAAATATGAGTACAGGATCTTATACAAGACCATTAAACACTCTTCTTAGCCATTTGGAACTCAATGAATTGCTTTCTAATTAATTTATGTCATTATGTTCTCAGTTACATAGATACTTACTAAATCTTTCCTAAAGAAAAATTATTCTGGCCAGGGATGGTGGCTCACACCTGTAATCTGAGCACTTTGGGAGGCCAAGGTAGATGGATTGCTTGAGGCAACGAGTTTGAGACCAGCCTGGGTAACATAGCAAGACCTCATCTCTACAAAAAATAAAAATATTTTTTTAAAAAATTAGCAGGGTGTGGTGTGGTGGTACGTACCTGTGGTCCCAGATGCTTGGGAGGCTAAGGCAGGAGGATTGCTTGAGCCCAGGAGGTTAAGGTTATAATGAGCCATCACACCATTGCCCTCCAGCCTGGGCAACAGAGCAAGACCCTGAAAAAAGAAAGAGAGAAAGGAAGGAAGGAAGGGAGGGAGAGAGGAAGGGAGGAAACAAGGAAGGAAGGGAGGAAGGAAGGAAACAAAGAAGGGAGGGAGGAAGGAAGGAAAGAAGGAAGGAAGGAAGGAAGGGAAGGAGGAAGGAAGGAAGGAAACAAGGAAGGAAGGAAGGAAGGAAGGGAAGGAGGAAGGAAGGAAGGAAACAGGAAGGAAGGAAGGGAGGAAGGAAGGAAGGGAGGAAGGAAGGAAGGAAGGAAGGAGGGAAGATTTTCTTTTGGTTTGTGCTTAATTCAGTCTTCCTTTTGTTATTTAAGTATCTACTGAATTGGGCCTAACTCCCTAAACTTTTCTTTCCTCCTGAGAATCCCATCATATCAAACTACCTTTATTTCCTTTTTTCTTTTTTTTTTTCTCAGAAATTAATTTTATAGTTCTCAGATTCTTCTCAAACGATCTCTTCACTGTTTTTTGTCCAAATCTGACGATAAAAAACACAACACATTTCTGGCTGTCACCTGCAGAAAAATAGTCTTGAAACCTCAACATTTCTTGGTTCCTGCTTCTCTAGAGCCGTCAACACTAATTTTTCTTTTTCTTTCTTGCTTTTTTAGATACAGGATCTTGCTATCTATTGCCCCGGTTGGAGTGCATTGGTGGGATCACAGCTCACTGCAGCCTGGAATTCCTTGGTTCAAGCCATTCTCCTGCCTCAGCCTGCCAAGCAGCCAGGACTATAGGCACACACCATCACGCCTGGTTAGTTTTTAAAATTTTGGTAGGGATGAAGTCTTGCTGTGTTGCCCAGGCTGAGACTAATTTTTCAATATCAATTCCTACTGACTAATCAGAGTGTAAAAGATGTGGATGTTACAAAGTAAAGAAAATTTTGGTTATGTTGGATTTATCAGCTAGAACTCATGGCATTGGCTGTAACAGCATTACCATATGTCCCAGCAATTCCACTCCTAGGTACATATCCAAAGGAATTGAAAGCGGGGACTTAAACAGAGATATTTACACAGGAATCTTCATAGCAGTATTATTCACAATAGCCAAAAGGTGGAAATGTGGAAACAACTCAGATGTCCGTTAGCCCAGGATTACCCAATGGATAAACAAAATGTGGTATACACATACAATGGAATATTATCGAGCCTTAAAAAGGGGTAAAATTCTGATCCATGTTACAACGTGGATGAACCTTGAAAACACTGTGCTAAGTGAATGATCCAGAAACAGAAGAACAAATATTGTATGATTTCACTTATATGAAGTACTTAGGATAGGTAAACTCAGAATTAGAAAGTATAATAGAAGTTACCAGAAATTAGGGAAAGGGGAAAAGGAGGAGTTCCTGTTTAATGGGCAGAAATTTCTTTTTTTTCTTTCTTTCTTTTTTTTTTTTTTTTTTTATACTTTAAGTTCTGGGGTACACGCGCACAATGTGCCGGTTTGTTCCATAGATATACATGTGCCATGTTGGTTTGCTGCACCCATCAACTCGTCATTTACATTAGGTATTTCTCCCAACGCTATCCCTCCCCCAGCCCCCCACCCCCCAACAGGCCCCAGTGTGTGATGTTCCCCTCCCTGAATGGGCACAAATTTCTTAGTAGGGATAATGAAAAAGTTTTGGGTATGGATAAGAGTGGTGGTTATACAACATTGTGAGTGTATTTAATATCCCTGAATTATACACTTATATATGGTTAAAATTATAAATATTATTCAGTTTTTACCACAATGAAAGAAAGAAAGTGCGCCTTCTAGTGGAAGCTGGGTGCAGAGAGAGCTCTGTATTCTTGGCTGCAGCTGTCTAGAATGGAGACTGTCTCGCTAAGCTGGGACTTGGGAGTCTTGGATAAAATATCACAGACCCTTACCTTTCTTACCAAATTTTTATAACTCTTTCTTGAAGAGATGTTTCTTCTTTTGCTATTTGCCCTTAGGATCATTTCCAGAGGGTCTGAGTCATTTTTCTAGAATTTTCACCAGTTTCACTGAGAAGTAAGATAGCAGAACTCTTTATGCAGTCATGCCAGAGGTTGATTGGGACGACTATATTTCAAATGTTAGTTATGTTATTCAATTTGGAGGATTGCTTATAACGTTGCTGCACTGGTTGTAAAATTAAATCTTTAGGATTAAAATGTTTTCTTGAGAAACATGGCAACATTACTAAAAACCATGGCAATCCCTCCCCACAAAATGGGATTTTTAGTAATCACTGTCCTGAGTCTTCCTTTTAAAAACTGAAGCTTTGACATTTTTACTACATTATTTTAAGAGAAAGGTAAGGCTCTATAGATTCCCCACGCATTCTTGAATAAATGAGTGAATGAATGAATGAATGTTTTTGTTTATGAACATGGTGGCCATTTGCTACTGTGTGCTTTGACAGTAAGACTCCCCCTGTACCTGCTTGTTACTGAATTCTACAATTCTATCACTCAAACCCTATCTTAGTTCAAGCTGCTATAACAAATTACCATAGGCTGGGTGGCTTAAACAACAAACATTTTTCACAATTTTGGTGCCTGAGAAGTCCGAGATCACGGTGCAGGCAGATCCTGTATTTGGTGAGGGCCTCCTTCCTTGCTTGCAGATACCATCCTCCTGTATCCTCACATGGCAGAAAAAGAGCGAGCTAACTCTCTGGCCTCTTAAAAGGGCACTAATCCTACTCATGAAGGCTCTACCCTTGTGAGTTAATTACCTCACAAAAGTCCCACCTCCAAATACCATCACATCGTGGGTTAGAATTCAACGTATGAATTTCAACACACTGGGGGATTCACTATAGCAAATGCACGGTTTTGTTATTTTCCTCTATACAGCCTATGGAAAGTAACTTTCCTCTCCAGTATTTTTGAGAGGAATGATAATTCAACCTTTCTATTAAGAATAGTTTATGCAGTCAAAATGTTATTTTCTCCAAGAGACAAAGACTTGATATTTTATCAGTATCCAAATAACTGGCCTATCCAACTACTGGAATAATTTTACATCTCAGCGAAGGTGAAAGAAATTAATATTCATGAGCATTTACTGTGTGGTAGGACTATTGCAAATATTATTTTATTTAACCCTTGCAGCAGTATCTAGGAGTTAGAGCTTATTAGTATCATTGAAGATGAAGAATTAAGACTTAAAGGTTGGGTCTTTTCCAAGGTCATACAGCTAATTAACAGTAGAGCTGCAAGGAAAAAAGAGAACAGGAATAGGGCAGTCAGACAGCAGTAGGTTGGCCCTAGATGTCACAGGTGGGAGTTTCCAAAGGAAGGATAAATGTCTCTGCAAGAAAAGCATCATTGATTCGTTGCTATTTTATCATCTACAAAACATTCCCTGCCAAATCTTCAGACGACAATTCTAAAGAAACTTAAAAGGATAACTTATAGTTTGTTCATGTTTAAAGTCTAAGAACACATTATTGCCCCGTTTTTATAAATTCATGTTGACTAAACATATTTAAAGATCATTGTGCTTTAGAACATTTATTTCTGAAATTTAACTTTATTTCTGAATCAAGTTCCTCAGTAATACCGACCTCATGAGTGCCATTGTGATATTTTATAAATAATATAGCTAAAATACTTTTTAGATACGAGGAGACTGGAAGTCCCAGAGCTGAGGCCTGGCTAACTTTTATGAGAAAGGCAGGTTGGGGTGTGTTTGTGTAGTTGTTGTACCCTTAGGGAAAGGGTACCACTTAGTAGACCCTTAGAACCCAGGATTAGGAGCTGTATTTAATGAGAATAGACACAGTAACCTGCAAAAGATATATTCAAAACCAGTTACAAACTTTTGGAGAAAAAAAGGCAGGAAGGGAGAGGTTGGGGGCTCGGGCGATCCATTGCTTGGAGCTCGGCTTAGCCAGGCTGGGGGGTCCTCCCAGGGGCTGATGAATCGGCGCTCGACTGGCTTAGGAGCTGCCCGCAGGGAGGTGAGGTCTGGGGCCCGGACGCCCGCGGGGAAGTGGGGACCCAGCCCAGCCGTCCGGGTAGCGGTCTAGTTTTAGAGCCGTCTGCCGGGCAGGCAGCGGACGGGCGCGGCGAGTTGTTGGTCACCAGCCGACTTCAGGCCGCGGGCCCGAGCCAGGCGCCTCAGCCGCATTTCCAGTCAGAAAGCGGTGAGGATTGAGGCGCGCTCGGGCGGGCCCAGCTCCCCGCGGGGTGGGACTGACTGTGCGTCCGGCCTGCCCCTAGAGTCGGCTGATTGGTGTTCGGTTCCTGTGTCTTGTGTTCTGGTGTGTGGCGCCCCCTGAGCGAGCTTTGAGGGGACGTACCCACCTGTCTGAGCCGCGGGTTTCACAGCGGTGGTAGGAAGCGGGAACCTGGGGGTGGAGTGACGCGCCCCTGTGCCCCGTTCTTGCTCCACTCTCCAGGCCCTAAGGCCTCTGTCTTGGATTTAGGATGTTCTCGTTAGGAAATCCACAGAGTTGTTATTTTGCTGTAGGTGCTGATTCGGTTCCCAGCCGGACCCTTCCAGCCCGGTTGGTGCCTGGGGAGAGGGGGTGACATCTGGGGCTCCGACAATTGTATGGTCCTTTCCCAGGCCGATCCTCGGAGTAATTTGTTCCCGTTGATTTTTCCTTCTTTGTCAAATTCTCTGCAGTTATTTGACGGTCGGTTATTCCCTTAAATGTTCCCGACTTCTTCCTTAACTCACAAAAATTTCTAGCAAATCAATAATTTATATCTGAGTTTCTGTACCTTTAAAATAACGAGTATATTTCTGAGTAAAAATTGTAAGAAATAAGTAATAGGCCTGCAATTTTATATAAGTTTATGCAATAATTGTATACAATAAAATAATTTTATACAATAAGTAAAGATGACAAAAGACAAAACGCCGAATTGTCATTAATATAACTAGAGATTAATTGTATCTAGTTGTATTAATATAACTAGAGATTGACATTAATATAACTAGAGAAGGTGCAGGTCGGCACTGCAAATTATGTAGTCTCAAAAATAGTTTAAGTATTTTAACAGTGATTATAGCAGAGCAGACACTTAAAAATAAAACTATCTGGGATATTGTTTATTTTGTTTGGCAATCTAATTTTGTGCCACATGCTGAAACTAAAACTTTAATAAATAATAAATAATAGGAACTTAGAAAATCTGAATCTAAACCTAGAACTTTAATTAATTTAAGATAGCATCCCCTCACATCACAAACTCATACTGAACTGTAGCAAGGTCCCTTGTAGGACCTGTGTTTCTTTTTTAAAAAAAGATTTATTTACATTTTGAACGTGCTAAATTCATCATCTTTTAGAACCTTCAAGATCTTATTTATATAAATCCTGAACTAGAAAAAAATTTCACATTTTTTAGATTGGTCAAATTTTAAGTTTCTAAGTTAACAGAAAATTATTTTTATTTAACATTATTTTTATAAACTGGTTATTGCTAATGCATGTATTCCACAGTAGATTCTTATGGACCATTTACTGTGTGCCAGGCACTATTCTGGGTTATTGGAACACATTAGTGAGCAAAAATTCCCTGCTTGCTCTAGAGGGAGAAACATAATAAAGAACTAAGCTTATACTATAATGTTAGTTATCAATTCATGCTATGAAGAAAAATAATGCAGGATGAGAGGATGCAGTTTTAGATAAGGGGTGTTTTTTTCCATAGGAGTGCATAAGAACTAAAATATGGCCGGGCATGGTGGCTCAAGCCTGTAATCCCAGCACTCTGGGAGGCCGAGGTGTGTGGATCACGAAGTCAGGAGATGGAGACCATCCTGGCTAACACGGTGAAACCCCGTCTCTACTAAAAATACAAAAAAAAAAAAAAAAAAGAAATTAGCCGGGCATGGTGGCGGGCGCCTGTAGTCCCAGCTACTCCGGAGGCTGAGGTGGGAGAATGGCGTGAACCCGGATCTTGCAGTGAGCCGAGATCGTGCCACTGCACTCCAGCCTGAGCGACAGAGCGAGACTCCGTATAAAAAAAAAAAAAAAAAAAAAAAAGAACTAAAATATGTACACGATATTTTTATTCTGAACCCAAACAAGTTATATTCTCGTATGCTAGAGCTAGAAATCAAAAATTCTTTTGAAAATATATGCTGTTTGTATAGGAGGTTTTTGTTAGTTCATGCAACACTTTTCTTCCCAAATATTTTAAATTTGTAGTTTTGTTGTCTATTTGTAGTTGCTTTGGGAAGAAAGTATTCAAGTGTGTAAATGTTAGCCTTAAGATTTTCGACTTAAATTCTGAGGTAGCAAAGCCATATGAAAGTGGTCTGGTGAGATTTATTTTAGAAGAAGTTTCTTTTGTTTGAACGTAGTTTTCCTAAAACTAGAAAGGGAACATTTTATTTGTTACTGTTTGGGCACTATAAAAATGTGATTAACATTTTCATTTATAGTTTTTCAGATAGTTGTTTTCAAGTTCTGAAATTGTTTACTTAAAGCTGTTAAAGACTTCGCATATTTCTGAATGACTCCCTCTACCTCCTGCCCTGTTATCCTAGGCTTTTATTTTGCGTATAGTCAAATCGTTTTAGACATTTATAGAACCACACTAATTTGTTTCATTTTTACACTTGTTTTTGTTGGTAACTGATTAATAGAGAAAAATGAAGAGGGCAATTATATTAAACAGATGGAAGGGGGAAGAACCCAATAAGGAAAATAGCAAAAACCCCCACAATATTCTGTATCAGTAAGAACAGCCCTAAAGTATATATACAGGTTTAGTTCTCATACAGCAGCATTTGTCAAGTGGAAACATTCTCCCTTCCCCACGTCACTCCCACTTGTATCTCATCCCCACATCAAGGAGGATTCAAAATTGGAGAGACATAATCTGACTTGGTAATGCCCATTTCTCCACTAGATGGCATTAATACAATTTCTTTGATTGTAGTTTCTATCTTGAGGACAAATTTACAATGTATTAACTAAAGCAGAAGAAACAGAAATGTGATTTATGTTTTACAATTTGTTCATCTGATTTTATGTTTTGTCATATAGAATGTCCTATGGTGTTTAAGAATTTAGAAAAAAATTGGGATATGCAAGGAAAAATAATTCTAATGGGAGCAATGTGTGTATCTAGAGACTAGTTTTCTTTTTTAATCACGTTTGCATCTTTTTTCAGCCGAGATTTTTGTTAATTCCAAGATAGCCAATGCTGAATTTTTTTTTTTTTGAGACGACATTGTATAATATTGTAAATATGCATATGTATGTTAAACTTATAATTTTTTTATTTGGGAAAAGTTCAAACATATGAAAAAAAAATATAATGAGCCCCATGTACCTATTACATAGCTTTAGCTGTGATCAACTCATTGTCAATATTCTTTCAATACTCTTTCATCTCTCCCCTTTATTTTGAAGCAAATCCCTGCATATGTACATAGTATATTGTTAGAAGTGCACACATTCACAATAAAATGTGCTGCCCTAACTCAAAAATAATGATGTGAGCAAAGTATTAAGAGCCCAAGAAGACTGATTAATTCTGCCTTGAGGAAGAAGACAAATTCAGAAAAGCCTTTGAAGAAGAAATGACATTTGACCTATACCTTGAAGGATGGATAGGAATTTGCCAGTTGGAGAATGGAAGAAAGCACATTCCAAGCATTGGAGCACTATGAAGAGAAGGGAGCAAGTTTGAATCCATGAATGAGTGGAAAGCAGAGAATAATGTATTTGAATGTTGAGGTGCTTTGAAGGAAGTTGTAGACGATGAAGCTGGAAGGATAGTCTTTGGTTATATTTTACAGGAGACTGGAAAATTAGTGATTATAGTTTATACAGAAATATTTTTCTACATCTTTATAAACTACTTTTTCCATATTTTGTAGATTTATGACAAAGTCCAGTTTTCAACAATGCTGGAATCAAATGATTGCTTGTTTTCCTTGGATAATTTGTTTTTTGAAAAACCGGATGAAGTTGAAAAGTAAGTCTCCCTTAAAGATTGATAACACAGTGTATTACTTTAGGGTTTTTTGAATTTGGGTGAGTTTTAGTTTTCTCTCTGGTAAATATACAAATAAAAATGAGGAATCCACAGAATGATATTTCAGTTACATATTTAGTAAACATGGAATTCTCTTACCAGTAAGAGGGGAGTAACTGAAGTTTAACATCTTAAATGTTATAATTTTAAAAATAGAATAGATTTGGGGCAGGCGTAGTGGCTCACGCCTGTAATCCCAGCACTTTGGGAGGCTGAGGCGGGTGGATCACCTGAAGTTAGGAGTTCAAGACCAACCTAGCCAACATAGTGAAACCTTGTCCCTACTAAAAGTACAAAAAAATTAGCTGGGCTTGATGGTGCTGGCCTCTAATCCCAGCTACTTGGGAGGCTGAGGCATGAGAATCACTTGAAGCCTGAGGCGGAGGTTGCAGTGAGCCAAGGTGGCGCCACTGCACTCTAGCCTGAGCAACAGAGTGAAACTCTGTCTGAAAAAAACACAAACAAAGAATAGATTCTTGCCTATTTGGCTTGCATTTATTTGCATATCTGGTTTGTTCATATTATTTTTGGCCAAGCTAAAAATGGGAAATAATGCTCAAAGAGTAGCTCAGGACAAGGAATGATATCACCATTTGGAAACAGAATGAACAGTATGCCAAAGGCAAAGTATGATAGGCACATTAAGTGCTGGTGGGAAGTAGGGGTGGGAATAAAGATGTGAGACCAAAGAAAACAAGACTAGAGAGTAGGTAGTATGTTGAATACTGACTTTTATGGATTTTCATGTGCATTGTTCAATTTTGAGTTTTCTATGTGTTTTTAGTGTATTGTATTATCCTATTTTAATGAGGTGTATTTATTGCTTCATTTATTATTTTACTTGTTCATTCAAATATTGATTGAAAGTTGAAAGGGTTATAAAAAGGATGAAACAGACTTTTACTTACAAAATACTTAAAATCTAGTTGAGATTAAACACACAAATGGAAAGGCATTAATAAGTAATATGACCATGTAAATAATCATCTATACTGGTACACTTTTGAGAGTGAAAGAGCACATCCAACTGGGGCAACATGTGTTAATCAGGACTGGCCAATGCAAATTTTGTAACATGGTTGTTTTTCTGAAAATATAGTCAAAAATATGTGCAAAGCAAATGAGAAGCATATGTTCATGCAGCGAAATTTCAGACTTGGAAGGAAGGTTGTCATGCTCTACACAGTCAGGTCAGGCTTTTTGGGTAGTAGGGGGAGACTTCAGGAGGCTTTGAAGGATTTGATAATTTCTATAGGAAGAGAAGAAGTAGGCATTTGAAGGCAGAGTGTTAGAGCAAGAGAAAAAGGATGGAGATGGGACAATTCATGGTACTTTTAAAGATAACGTGTAGAGAAGTTTCCTTGAGTAGATGATTCATGAAGTGGAAACATTGGGACATAAAGTTAGCAATTCTAAGTTGAGGTTAGATGGTGATGTGTGTTAAATGCTGGAATAAAGATTTTGGATAGAATTCACTGTGGGTTAAAAACCTTGGAATTAACAAATATTTATTGAAATTATGTAAAAGACTTTGTTAAGTATGCTAATGTAAATGGACATAAAAATAAAACTCTCAGGTGTTTATAATCTAGAGGGAGTATCAAATATGTATCTGTCATATCTATTCATCTACGTATCTGTCTGTTTCTGTCTATTATCTATTGGTACATTCACACAGCTCAAGGCAGACTATGATACATATTATAGGTTCCCTCTATAAGAAGAAGGGAGGAGAAAATCTTTGGGAACCTAGGGAGATTTCTTGGAAAAGGTAGGATTTGAGCCAGCCTTTGAATATAAGCTCTAGTGCCTAGAACAATACCTGGTACATAGTACTCAGTAAATAATTACTGAATGGATTAATGAATGAATAAAATAGTGGATTTCTGTAGGTAGATATCGGAGTGGGGCAAGGCACAGGGGAATGCTGAGTAAATATCTTTGAATGCAGGTGAGGAGTGACCAGGCACGGTGGCTTACACCTGTAATCCCAGCACTTTGGGAGGTTGAGGTGGGCAGATCACTTGAGTCCAGGAGTTTGAGACTATCCTGGCCAACATGGTGAAACGCCGTCTCTACTAAAAATACAAAAAGTAGCCAGACATGGTGGTATATGCCTGTAATCCCAGCTACTGGGGAGGCTGAGGCATGAGAATCACTTGAACCCAGGAGGTGGAGGTTGCAGTGATCTGAGATCTCGCCACTGCACTCCAACCTGGGTGGCAGAGTGAGACTTGTCTCAGTAGGAGAAAAAAAGATGAGGAGAGACAGAATGCATTATCTATTTGTTATACAACAGGGAGTTCAGTTTAGTTTGGACTATAAGGTATGTGTAGGAGAGTTAAAACTGTAAGGTGGTCTAAGGCCACTAGGAAGTTTGGCAATCTTTCAAAGCCACTGAAGGATTTTGAATGAAGTAATGTAATGAAAATAATTCCAAATGAATGTGGTAGGAACCTGTAAAATTAATCAGAGAGAAAGCCTGGAGGCAGTGAGGGCAGTTAAGACAAGTTAATAAGAGCCTTGATTATGATAATGACCATGGAAACACAAAGGAAATGATGAATTTAGGAAGCATTAAAAGGAATATACAATAAGACCTAATATGTATCTAGATCTACTTAGTAAAAAAGATACTGTGGTTTGGATTCTGGGTGACTGGGATGATGATGTCACCTCTGGAAAAAAGATTGGGAAATTATAAGGAAGATTTGATTTTATTAAGAGGCAGAATAGTAGAGCTATTATTCCTCTTTCTTGGATTTTCTTAAATAGTCCTTGTGTAGAAAAGAGTTAACATAGCAGCCTAAACTGCTGTTCTTGAAAAGGCCTGCTTGCAAGGTTGGCTTTGGCTAGAGTCTGAGAACTTAGATTTCAGGAAGATCCCCTCCATTAGCTGACAACAGTGGCTTACTGTGTGTAAACTGTTTATACAAATAATATGGTTTATGTGAACACCCACGTTTTTTCTGTGATTCTGGAATTTAGGTGTGTGCCAGACAGGGAATGCTTATGCTAATGTTAGTTAGCCCCCAATAAAAACCTGGGCATTGAGTCCCTGAAGAGCTTCCCTTCTTTGGCAACATTTCATGGGTATTGTCCTAAGTCATTACTGAGATAATTAAGTGCCTCCCACAGTCTGCTAGGAGAAGACTCTTAAAAGCTCATGCCTGGTTTTCCTTGAACTTTGTCCTGGTAGCCATGTGTAGGACTGTATGCTGAGTCTTATGAGTCATTTTAGGGAATTATTGAACTGGGGGTGATCTTGGGCACCCTCTGGCGCAGTCCTAAATTTTAAAAGATCTGGCCTGTTATTAAACAGTCTGTCAGACATTGCCAGATAATGCGTTGTAGATTTTTTACTTGGAAAATATGGTCAGAGTAGCTATGTGCTAGGTGCTCTGAGAGACAGAAAAGTAAAAGACTGAGTCTCTCACTTTAGAGAGTATAACATACTAAATGACTAGATCATAAAATCTTTGGGACTTGGTATAGGCAAAATATATGATGCTCTTCTCAACTTTATTTCCTGTCATCCAACACTTATCTTTTTGTCGTAATGAAGAACAAGTCAACTTTGATGGGAAAGGAACCATTAAAGCAGTATCAGTTAACACGATCACAGTTGAAAGACAAGGAGGGGTAGTTAATGATGCCAACAGGGTGGCAAAAATATCAATTACTATAGGTTATAAAGAGATTGTCAATTTCAAATTATTTCTTGGATTTTTCTGTAGTTTGTAGATGGTTCTGGACTAAGAATATTTAGGTTAGGACATTAATTTGTAATAATATTATAGGAATACTCTAGAACAACGGTCCCCAACCTTTTTGGCACCAGGGACTGAATTTGCAGACAGTTTTCCACAGATGGTTTCAGGATGAAACTGTTCCACCTCAGATCATCAGGCATTAGATTCTCATAAGGAGCATGCAACCTAGAGCCCTTTCGTGTGCAGTTCACAATGGGGCTCGCACTCCTGTGAGAATCTAATGCCCTTGTTAATCTGACAGGAGTTGGAGCTCAGGCAGTAATGCTCACTTGCCTGCTGCTCACCTCCTGCTGTGCAGCCGGGTTCCTAACAGGCCAGTATCAGTCTGTGGCCCAGGGGTTTTGGATCCCAGCTCTGGAATACCAGTGATGGTGTCATTTACACATTGGTGACCCGTGATTAGTTGTGAGGTATGTCAAGTAATTTGTTACTTGTAATAGTTAAAATGCTAAAGTTTGAGAATGATTTACTTCTTTGTTTTTATATTGGAGCAGATTTAAGATTCCTGTTACTGGCATTTGAATTGGAGAAAAGGAAATAGAGTTATTGCTATTATTTAGGTAGCATATCTCACACAACAGAATCATTAATCCTATGATACATAAGGGTAAAAGGTTGAGAACACTGCTGTGTAGGGATAAATCAAAGTGCTGACAGAAAGTTAATTTATAGGATGTTTAAGAGTCTATAATTGAGTAATGTTTAATAAATACATAGCTTCTCATGTTACATCTTTATTAACATATATACTCACATTTTTATATTTAATATAGCCATCCAGATAATGAAAAGTCATTAGATTGGTTTCTCCCTCCTGCTCCACTGATTTCAGAAATTCCAGATACTCAGGAGTTAGAGGAAGAATTAGAAAGTCATAAACTGTTAGGTAAATTATCACATATTTGTTTTGAAGCCAAACCCATACAGTTCATGGCAATATATTTTTTAAAGCCCTGATTTGATTGTTACACATTGTGTATGCATGTATCATAATATTGCATATGCCCCCAAAATATGTATACTCATATTGGGTATTGATTTCAGAAATTTCAGATACTCAGGAGTTAGAGTAATAATTAGAAAGTCTGGGAGGCCGAGGTGGGCGGATCACGAGGTCAGGAGTTCGAGACCATCCTGGCCAATATGGTGAAACCCCATCTCTACTAAAAATACAAAAAAACTAGCTGGGTGTAGTGGCATGCGCCTGTAGTCCCAGCTACTCGGGAGGCTGAGGCAGGAGAATGGCATGAACCCAGGAGGCGGAGGTTGCAGTGAGCCGAGGTCGCACCACTGTATTACTCTATCCTGGGCAATAGAGGGAGAATCCGTTTCAAAAAAAAAAAAAGAAAGTAATAAACTGTTTGATAAATTATCACTTATTCTTTATGAAGCCAAACCCATACAGTTCATGGCAGTATTTTTTTAAAAAACTCTGATTTGATCATTACACATTGTGTATGCATATATCAAAAATATCAGATATCCCCCCAAAATATGTATACTCATTATGTAAACAATTAAAATTTCTTTATTTTAATGAAATAAAATGAAAGTCAGATCCTTCTTTTATTAAAAAGAGTGCTCACCAAGCTGGATGCAGTGGCACTTGCCTGTAGCCCCAGCTACTTCGGAGGCTGTGAATAGCCACTGCACTCCAGCCTGGGCAACATAGTGAGACCCTATCTCTAAATAAATAAATAAACAGACCCCCCCATCTCTAAATACATACATACCCCCCAAAACAAAATAGTGCCCACCAAATCTTAAAATTTAAAACATTTGTCTTCTCTGTACATATAATACACATACATATGCATACATAAATGCACACAATACACTATTACACACACGTGTTGATTTTTTGTTTTATGAATATTTTTTCTGTTACTATTAAAATTCCTATCACTACTGTTCAGTTTTTGCCTTGCCATTTACTAAAGGTAAGATCGCCTGGTAACCAGCTCCCAGAAATACTCAGTGAAAAAAGTGAGATGCAGAAGATTAAATACAGTGTGATACCATTTTTAAAAAGCTCAAAAACAAGCACACTCAAACAATGTATGTGAGCTAATGGAATATTAGTAAAATTTTAATTTTTAAATTGGATCATAGGCTCATACACATACATTTTATTATTAAGCTTTGTAATTTACATATATGTTATATATATACTTATATCAAATAATATATAGCATAGAGTAAAATGTAGATACATAGATGCTAAAGCAAATTTAAGTTCTAGTAAGACATCCAAATTCCCCCTAAACTTCCCTAAAAATTCTTATAAAGCTTCTAAAGAAACCTTTAAAATTCTGTCACTCTGATGAAAACATTCCTTTATTTTGATTTTAGAAACAAGATTACAAACTTAAAAGCATTAGATATGTTAATAATGAATTGTGTTTGGTAACATTTTATATAATTGGTCATGGTATTTCTGTGTGTAAATCATTTATATAAATTTTAAATCTTCATAATTACTTGTATAATTATATCATTTGTTATGGGTCAGAAAGAAATTAAACCTATTTTATAATGCAGGTACTAAGGAAACTTCAGATTTAATTCAATAATTCCTTATTAATTTCTGGGTGTCGTTTAGTGATGTAATATACCATAAGTGTAACAATTACCTGTATTTTAAAACCTATGGTGTCACAGATTATCTTATTATTAGTGTTTTGCTTTTGACTTTCATATTTAACTTGGAATTTTTATTAAAGTTTTTCATCATTTTGAAAATTTCCTTTAATGGAGAACATGTAATAATTAATATATTCTTTTTTTGTAGGTCAGGAAAAGAGGCCAAAAATGTTAACATCAAATTTAAAGATAACTAATGAAGACACAAATTATATTTCGCAAAGATAACTAATGAAGACACAAATTATATCTTGGCAACACAAAATTTCCAATTTGCCTTTCCTTCTAATAAATATGAACAGGATGATCTAAATTTAGAAGGGGTAGGTAAAAATGACTTATCACATGTTGCTGGCAAGCTGACATATTGTTCTCAGAAATATAAAAATCACATTGGCACTGAGATAGCACCTGAGAAGAGTGTTCCTGGTGATACAAAATTAGTTAATTTTGCAGAAGATAAAGGAGAGAGCACATCAGTGTTCCGGAAAAGGTAATTATTATAATTAAACCAAATAATATTCTGTGAATAAATTTGAATATTTGTACATCTAAAAGTATTAAATATGGTAGAATGTGAATGAGAAAAACAGCAAAATTCTATCTCCTAAATAATTCCTTACTTTCTGCATTCCTGGTGTCATAGTCCTTGTCCTACACATAAAAATAACCATAATTGTAATATTTAACTGTCTACTAAAAATGGTACTACAATAGTCCAGGTGGGACACAGGAATCTTCATTTTGAACAAATTTTCCAGGTGATTATTATGCATACAAAAGTTCGAGGCCCATTTTCCTAATGCCTTGAGTTTTAAACAGTGGAGTGAAATTAGATTTTCTTTTCTTTGAGGGTTCATTGGCCCCAGTATGGAGAATACATTTTAATAGAAGGGAGTTAAAATAAATTGTGAAGGTCCACTAGAAAGATTGTCTTATTAGTCTAGATGGGAGAAAGTGGTAGCCAGACCTAGGATAGTGGGATCAGGAATGGAGACAATCCAGAATGATTTAGGAGATACAGTCCCACAGGACTTAAGTGATTATTGGATATGAGATCTGACTCCTAGGTTTTTGGTTTGAGCCAGAATGATGAAGGCTGGTAGTGCCCTTTTTTGATTTAAAGAACTGTAAAGTAAGAACAGGTTCAGGGGAAGGTGATGAGTACAGATATGGCCATGTTGATTTTAGATATTTATAAATAGTCCAAATACTCAATTGGGTATATGGATTCAAGATTCAGAAGAAGTTTAGTTGATTGTTTTTGTTTTCTCTGACATAGGAGATGTGGTTATCTGTGGAGTTTGAGGGAAAAAGTGAGAGTATTGAGCAAGAATGAGAAGAGTGGAATAAATTATGGAGAATGGGAAAGCAGTCTAATTAGAATAATGATAGGATTGATGGACACTGTAAAGGGTCTGGCTGATGTTGATCTCTGTATGTTTGTAATAACGGCTTTATTAAGATATAATTTACATACCATAAAATTCACCTTTTTGAAGTGTAGAATTACTTTATTTTCTTATTTGTTTCATTCTTACATATTTACCCACATTGATTTTTATAATACATAGTTTTGCAACCATCACTGTTAACTAATTTTAAAACATTTCCATCTCCTGCAAAATAAATTCCTTACTAATTAACAGTTACTCTTCATTCCTCCCTTTCCACAGCACCTGGTGACCACTAATCTACTTTCTGTCTCTATCATCTCTATGGATTTACCTATTCTAAACATTTCATATAGGTGGAATTATACAAAATATGGCCATTTGTGTCTGGCTTCTTTCACTTAACATTTTTTTTGGAGGTGAGTATTTTTTCTTTTTTTTTTTTTTATTACACTTTAAGTTCTAGGGTACATGTGCACAACGTGCAGGTTTGTTACATATGTATACATGTGCCATGTTGGTGTGCTGCACCCATTAACTCATCATTTACACTAGGTATTTCTCCTAATGCTATCCCTCCCCCAGCCCCTCACCCCACAACAGGCCCTGATGTGTGATGTTCCCCACCCTGTGTCCAAGTGTTCTTATTGTTCAGTTCCCACCTATGAGTGAGAACATGTGGTGTTAGGTTTTCCGTCCTTGCAAAAGTTTGCTCAGAATGATGATTTCAAGCTTCATCCATGTCCCTGCAAAAGACGTGAACTTATCCTTTTTTATGGCTGCATAGTATTCCATGGTGTATATGTGCCACATTTTCTTTTTATTATTATTATTTATTTAAGTTCTAGGGTACATGTGCACAACGTGCTGGTTCGTTACATATGTATACATGTGCCATGTTGGTGCGCTGCACCCATTAACTTGTCATTTACATTAGGTATATCTCCTAATGCTATCCCTCCCCTCTCCTTCCACTCCACGACAGGCCCTGGTGTGTGATGTTCCCCTTCCTGTGTCCAAGTGTTCTCATTGTTCAATTCCCACCTATGAATGAGAACATGCGGTGTTTGGTTTTTGGTCCTTGTGATAGTTTGCTGAGAATGATGGTTTCCAGCTTCATCTATGTCCCTACAAAGGACATTAACTCATCCTTTTTTGTGGCTGCATAGTATTCCATGGTGTATATGTGCCATATTTTCTTAATCCCATCTATCATTGATAAACATTTGGGCTGGTTCCAAGCCTTTGCTATTGCGAATACTACCGCAATTAACATACATGTGCATGTGTCTTTATGGCAGCATGATTTATAATCCTTTGGGTATATACCCAGTAATGGGGTGGCTGGGTCAAATGGTATTTCTAGTTCTAGATTCTTGAGGAATCGCCACACTGTCTTCCACAGTGGTTGAACTAGTTTACAGTCCCACCAACAGTGTAAAAGTATTCCTATTTCTCCACATCCTCTCCAGCACCTGTTGTTTCCTGACTTTTTAATGATTGCCATTCTAACTGGTGTGAGATGGTATCTCATTGTGGTTTTGATTTGCATTTGTCTGATGGCCAGTGATGATGGGGATTTTTTCATGTGTCTGTTGGCTGCATAAATATCTTCTTTTGAGAAGTGTCTGTTCATATCCTTTGCCCACTTTTTGATGGGATTGTCTGTTTTTTTCTTCTAAATTTGTTTGAGTTCTTTGTAGGTTCTGGATATTAGCCCTTTGTCAGATGAGTAGATTGCAAATTTTTTCTCCCATTCTGTAGGTTTCCCGTTCACTCTGATGGTCGTTTCTTTTGGTGTGCAGAAGCTCTTTAGTTTAATTAGATCCCATTTCTGTATTTTGGCTTTGGTTGCTATTGCTTTTGGTGTTTCAGTCATGAAGCACTTGCCCATGCCTTTGTCCTGAATGGTATTGCCTAGATTTTCTTCTAGGGTTTTAATGGTTTTAGGTCTAACGTTTGAGTCTTTAATCCATCTTGAATTAATTTTTGTATGAGGTGTAAGGAAGGGATCCAGTTTCAACTTTCTAAATATGGCTAGCCAGTTGTCCTGGCACCATTTATTAAATAGGGAATCCCATTTCTTGTTTCTGTCAGGTTTTCAAAGATCAGATGGTTGTAGATGTGTGGTATTATTTCCGAGGACTCTGTTCTGTTCCATTGGTCTACATCTCTGTTTTAGTACCAGACCATGCTGTTTTGGTTACTGTAGCCTTGTAGTATAGTTTGACATCAAGTAGTGTGATGCCTCCAGCTTTGTTCTTTGGGCTTAGGATTGTCTTGGTAATGTGGGCTCTTTTTTGGTTCCATATGAAGTTTAAAGTTGTTTTTTCCAATTAGGTGAAGAAAGTCATTGGTAGCATTGAATCTATAAATTACCTTGGGCAGTATGGCCATTTTCATGATACTGATTCTTCATATCCATGAGCATGGAATGTTCTTCCATTTGTTTGTGTCCTCTTTTATTTCACTGAGCAGTGGTTTGTAGTTCTCCTTCAAGAGGTCCTTCACATCCCTTGTAGGCTGGATTCCTAGGTATTTTATTCTCTTTGAAGCAATTGTGAATGGAAGTTCATTCATGATTTGGCTCTCTGTTTGTCTGTTACTGGTGTATAGGAATGCTTGTGATTACAGCACATTGATTTTGTATCCTGAGACTTTGCTGAAGTTGCTTATCAGCTTAAGGAGATTTTGGGCTGAGATGATGCGGTTTTCTAAATATACAATCATGTCATCTGCAAACAGGGACAATTTGACTTCCTCTTTTCCTAGTTGAATACCCTTTATTTCTTTCTCCTGCCTGATTGCCCTGGCCAGAACTTCCAACACTATGTTGAATAGGAGTGGTTCTAGAGGGCATCCCTGTCTTGTGCCAGTTTTCAAAAGGAATGCTTCCATTTTTTGCCCATTCAGTATGATATTGGCTGTGGGTTTGTCATAAATAGCTCTTATTATTTTGAGATACATCCCAACAATACCGAATTTATTGAGAATTTTCAGTATAAAAGGCTGTTGAATTTTGTCAAAGGCCTTTTCTGCATCTATTGAGATAATCATGTTGTTTTTGTCTTTCGTTCTGTTTATATGATGGATTACATTTATTGATAAACATATGTTGAACCAGCCTTGCATCCCAGGGATGAAGCCCACTTGATCATGGTGGATAAGCTTTCGATTTGCTGCCGGAATTGGTTCACCAGTATTTTATTGAGGATTTTTGCATCTATGTTCATTAGGGATATTGATCTAAAATTCTCTTTCTTTGGTGTGTCTCTGCCAGGCTTTGGTATCAGGATGATGCTGTGCCACATTTTCTTAATCCAGTCTATCATTGATGGACATTTGGGTTGGTTCCAAGTCTTTTCTATTGCAAATAGTGTCGCAATAAGCATACATGTGCATGTGTCTTTATAGCAGCATGATTTATAATCCTTTGGGTATATACCCAGTAATGGGGTGGCTGGGTCAAATGGTATTTGTAGTTCTAGATCCTTGAGGAATCGCCACACCGTCTTCCACAATGGTTGAACTAGTTTACAGTCCCACCAACAGTGCAAAAGTGTTCCTATTTCTCCACATCCTCTCCAGCACCTGTTGTTTCCTGACATTTTAATGATTGCCATTCTAACTGGTGTGAGATGGTATCTCACTGTGGTTTTGATTTGCATTTGTCTGATGGCCAGTGATGATGGGCATTTTTTCATGTGTTTGTTGGCTGCATAAATGTCTTCTTTTGAGAAGTGTCTGTTCATATCCTTTGCCCACTTTTTAATGAGGTTGTTTTTTTCTTGTAAATTTAAGTTCTTTGTAGATTCTGGATATTAGCCCTTTGTCAGATGAGTAGATTGCAAAATTTTTCTCCCATTCTGTAGGTTTCCTGTTCACTCTGATGGTAGTTTCTTTTGCTGTGCAGAAGCTCTTTAGTGTAATTAGATCCCATTTCTGTATTTTGACTTTGGTTGCCATTGCTTTTGGTGTTTCAGTCATGAAGCACTTGCCCATGCCTATGTCCTGAATGGTATTGCCTAGATTTTCTTCTAGGGTTTTAATGGTTTTAGGTCTAACATTTGAGTCTTTAATCCATCTTGAATTAATCTTT